ACGTCCTCAAAACTTGGAAACAAAGTCCAATGGATTGTTTTTCAACTTTTTTAGAATGACTCTGACTTGGATGACTGAGAATCTTCATCAGCAACATCAGCTCTCAAACAGCATCCCAGCTGTTAGTGCAGTGAAGGTTTCCAAATTGAGCCTAGGAGGAAGTTCAACTGAATAAACTGATAACTCACTCACTGATAACTCACCTTCATCCGCCTATGACACAGCCAATCAGCTTTGAAACCTCACCTCAACACCTCAACGAAAGCCAATCAGCATCCAAATTTCATCATTAAAAGCCTCCAAACCGCTACTCGTCTGCTACCTAGTGCACAGGTGGTGGTTGTGCTTTGTTCAGTTTCATCCAGATGACCCTGTTTCCACCCCCCTCCAGCCCCTCCTCCACCATCGTAGCTAAAGCTTCATCAGAGCATCATTCCTCCTGGACTCTTACTGCGTTCAGCGTCTCATCTGGAGTCCGCCATGTGGAGCCTGGTTCTGCCAGAGGTTTCTTCCCAACGGAGTTTTTCCTCACCACTGTCGCTTCATGCTTGCTCATCATGGACAGGTTCTCTCAATCTGTGTTTTCCAACTGGACTTCAATCTTCCAGGTCCCTGAGTGAAGCTCTAGTTTCAGCTCACGCAGTCAACTGGATCTCCCCATAAAGCTCAGCAGACCGTCTCACTAACCAGCAGTCTACAGACTGACCAACTCCATCTATCTGCACTCCACCACCAGTTTCTGGCCTGGGGGGAAACATCCCTGTTCTCTACTCCTGTTCATGCATATCAAAGCAAAAATTCAACGCTAATGTTTCCTGCGAAAGTCTAGGCGCCAAAGAATAAAGCAATTGTATCAATAGATTTCTTCTAATTGTCTTTTTTTTCTGTGGGAGTTTTTCAGATTGAAATATGGTTTAATAATCAGACACAACCTCTTGTTGTGCAGGAAATGCAGTGTCTCTCTCGTTAATTCATATGGAGCATCAACTTGCTGGGATGATTGACCTGCAGCTCACATATCGCCATGGAGACCTTTGATGCTCCAATCAGAAACATAGAATAATCATGTCTATCTGTATTTTTAACCGCCTCTTACAGCTGTGCCCTTCACCCAGGGGGCCGAGCGGGGGGTGAGGGGTCGCTGTCCTACATCATGTGTCATTGTGAATCCCATTTATGTAAAGCATAACAGCACAAAACACACACACACCCTTCTGACGACATAGGAGCAGTTGCTTCTTTTGAAGTTGTCTGTTAGCTTTTCGTGTCACCTTTAGGATAACCTGTGAACGCTGTGACACAGGCAGAGGTTACTGCGGTTCAGCCTGAAGGCAGCAGGAAAAAGATGGACTCCACCGAAATGAGTTCTGAATTTATTTTTTGCTTTTATTGACCAAAATATAAATAAAAGCTGACAGAAACCGCTTCTAAGTTTCTGAAATATATTTTGTCTTTGAGATGGTACAAATAATGAGCTGCATTATGGAAACCAAGCTGATAGGAGAAAATAATCGCAATTTTGCATGTCTGTGTAGAATCTCATTAAGTAACAAATCAAATCACGTGGAGTAAAAAACGCTCGGCAGTAAAGTTTTTTTGAATCATTGTGCTAGTTTAGGTAATAGTTTACCTTGCTGTGGACACTTTAAAGCTCATGCTGCATCTAGATCTTCAGGTTTACCTGGGATTCTCTCTGTGCTAACAGGAAAGTGTTTTTTTTCCTTTCACAGTAGAAAGTTCCTAAAAGTCTAATTAAAATCCAAGCAATTCTTTTTAGAAGTGTAGAGAACAATAAATACATGGTATAAAGTTGTTGTCCTTTAATTCCATTCCAAGATTGTTATAACTTGAAGTGTGTTTTTTTTTCCAACTCTTTAAAGTTCAATTCAAATTTTCTATTGAAGGAAAATTAGCTGATTGCATCGACTCTTCAGCAATCCCTCGCACTAAGCAGGCTTGTAGCGACAGTGGAGAGGAAAAACTCCACTTTAACGGGAATAAACCTCCAGCAGAACCAGGCTCAGAGTGAGCGGCCATCTGCTGAGGCCGACTGGGGTTCAAGGAGACAGAAGCAGACATAGAAAAAGAAGCATAGATACAAAAGGCAACTGTCAACCAGCTCCACAGGCGTCCCCATCCAGGAAACACACAGCAAGGCAGACGAGCTCCGAGCCAGCTCCCATGTCAGAGGATGAAGAGAGCACATCCAGTTAGTCACAGTCAGAGAAACAGGACTACACTGAAAAACAGGTCAAGCTCCAACATCTAGAAACAAAGGTGTTGATGGCAGCAGCACAGCTGATATTTCTCTCCAGGATGGAGTCACAGCCAAACAGGAACAGACCAGATGAAGCTACTATGAGAAAAAGCAGAGAGAGCAGAACATTAGAGATTGAACTAACAGATTCTGCAGAGTGGGAGAATAGAGATAGAATAAAGCAGAATGATGAAAAAGGGGTCCCTATGTCCTCCAGCAGGCTAAGCCTATAGCAGCATAACTATAGAGATAGCTCAGGATAACCTGAGCCACCCTAACTATAAGCTTTATCAAAAAGGAAAGTTTTAAGCCTAGCCTTAAAAGTAGACAGGGTGTCTGCCTCACGGACTAAAACTGGTGGTTGGTCGCGGATAGAGGAGTGCTAATTATCTTATTTTTAATAAGATCAATCTTATTTATAAAGAATCCCATAAAATCATTGCTGCTAAGAGCAGGTGGAATGAACGGTTCAACAGAGCTATGGCTGTGGGTGAGTTTGGCAACTGAATTAAAAAGAAATATAGGACAATTCTTATTCTTTTCTATTAATGAGGGGAAATATGCTGCTCTTGCTTTACAAAGGGTCCTCTTATACAGCAGTAAACTATTTTTGCAGACTAGGTAGGATTCCCGTAGGCCTGTGGAAAAATACTTTCTCTCCAGTTTCCTAGCATTTTGCTTCAAAGTGTGCAGCTCTGCATTAAAGCAAGGAGCAAGCTTTTCTATTTTTATTTTTTTTTACATCTGGCAATGTGGCAATAAGAATGATTGTCTCGATGCCAAAAAGAGCCCAACAGATTTTACTTTCACAAGTGGAGCAGTACGGCTATTGCCACAGTGTTCTGCTTGATTTATGCATATAAATTGCTTTATTATAATTATGCAGGGAGTTTTACAGATTATTTGGACACTGCAATGTAAGTAGAACAGAAGAGGAAAAACAGAAAAAAGGAGAAAAGATGAAAGAAAGAGGAGATAAAAGGGAGATAATGATAAAACATCTCAGTTGGCTTCATCACCTGCAAAGAGATGGAAAAAAAGAACAGCACAACCAATGGACAGAGTATAAGATCTACAATAAAGAAACACCTAGATACTATCCCTGAAGTATAAGTAGTATTATTTAATCTGACATGTATTCTTTGGGAGCTGAAGATCAGAATATGGGCTTTCTGTGTGGAAGTGAATCTCTGAGTACCTGGAACCAAGCACCTGTAGTTGATTGTAAAAGTGCACCGTCAGGACTCCTGTCTGTGTGTTTGTGTTTCTGTGTTTGTCTCCCTTCATCCACCAGGAGGCGCCTGGTTCTGGTCCGCCTCTTCACACACCTGCCACTTCTTCGACGCCAGAGTGTTTGCCAGTTTAAGGAAGTTCTCCTGCTAACTGGATCTCTCGGACCTTCCCAACCCTGGAAGGATAAACTGAGCTTCAAACTGAGCTGGGATTTAAACAGGAGGTTTGAAACCACTTTCCCCAAGAGATCGTTTGAGCTTTCCACTGAGAAAGGGGTTATTCTCCACTACGTTCAAGTACAGCAGGAAATCTGAGTGGCAGTCAGTTTCTCCCTTCTCCAACTATCAACAGCATTCTGGGTAAACCTGTTCCGCCCTCCACCAAATCAGACAAACATTGGAACCACGGCACACAGACAGGAGTCAAGGATACAACAACTTCTCTGGAAACGTGAGTCGGCAACCAAAACCTCTTTTCCAAGTTTCACGAGTCAAATTCCCCACTGAGCCTGAACTAACCATTGTGTCACCCCCTCACTTTGCAATTCCGGTTGAGCTGTGTTCAGAGCATCACTTCTCCCCTTGTTTTACTTCTTCAATAAAACGTGTTAAACCTTTCCCGTGGTCTCTCTGTTCGGTTTTCTACATTTTTGGGTCAGTACTTTTTAACATCATGACAAAGAAGCGACAAAAGACATCCAGGCCAAGATCATTCCCACTGCCCCTCCCTCCCCTTCCCCCACTAGCAGAGTGTAAACCCCTGTAGGGGTAAATATCTGCCATAGGTGTTAATGTCCATGCCCCCCCACCCTGCCCAGCTGTGGCGGGGCCGGACAGCCGGGCATACACCGGACCATAGAACCCGAAACCCGACGCCCAGCCGGGGCAACGCATCCCAGGGAACCCAGAAATCACCTTCTGTTCTTCCATTAATCAAACGGCATCACCAGGGGCCCCTCAGGGACGTAAGATTTTCCACCAGTGTGTTCCTGTTCCTCCCAAACAGCTCCCATCTCTGTCAGTGAAGCTGAGCGCGTCACATCTCTGCCTTCATGGGGGCCATCTACATTAAGATCCACAATTCTGAGATTAAAGTCAGAATTAGGACTTTTTTCCCATATTAAACGGAAACAATATTTAAAAATCTGTTAACTTTTAATATGTTTTCAGTGGCCCTAATCCTCCTCCATACTTTCAGGCCAGTTTTAATTTTTTTATTTTTATAATATGCCTCATAAGTTTGAACTAATGAACTAGCATGCAGTTGCCTGAAATGAATAAAATAAATACATTTACTTAGAAATACATTTGATCAAGAGAAGGTACAGTTTAATGTTTTAAGTTTACTGTAATCAAGCTTTAATTTAAGTTTTATTTTGTTTTGTTTTTAGGAAAGCAGGTGTATATTATAGAATGTAGGCACAGTTTAAAATCCTGATCCTCACTCCTATTCAGAAGGTGGCGGTAATGCGCACCTAAACGATGCCTGCCAACCGCCATTAAACCAAAGAAGAAGAAGTGCAGCAGCAGCAGCAGCAGCAGCAGCAGCAGCACCAGGGCAGATGGCGGACGGCAGGCAGGAAGCAGACGAGCTGTTTGACAGGATTCTGTTGGCGGATGAGAGGTGGGTGACACCCGGCATGCAGGTGAACTGATTCCGCATTAGCTGTCTGAACGATCCGATCCGGTTTATCTGCTGATGCTGAACCGGAAGCTGCTCCATTCACGGACAGAAATATGGCTGAAACTGTGTGAGATGATGACTCTCTGTTCGAAATCCTGGGCTGCATCCTTCCAAGGACGCGGTCTACCTAGACTGGATCCTTGGAAGTCCGGAAGAGTTTTGGGCTGTGAATTCTACCAGGTCTACCCTTCGGCTGGTTTTACCACCGTAAGCTCTGTTGTTTAACAACCGTGAAAGTTGACACACAAAGCAGGAAAAGAAGGAAAAGTTTTTAAAACTGTTTATTTCTTTTTTATTGTAAAGTGAACAAAGACTACATTAACAAGAATCCAGAGTGGAATAAATAACCTGCTGCTGTCATTCTGCACATCTCTGATGTTGCTGCTATTTTCAAATATCCATCACTGTAAAATTGGTTATTTATTCCCCAGTTTAATATTGTAAAACACTTTACAGTATTGTATTGTTCATATTTTAACTCTTCCCTATTGTGTTATTCTTTTTTCTACATTTTTCTAAGGTCCACATTTGTGTGACCATTTTCAATAATCTTTCTGCTGCTGTAAATCTGCCCATTGTGGGACAATAAAGGGATTTTCTATTATATTCTATAAAAGTGGTAGAAAGATATAAGTAAATCTAAACAATGTATGTATAGAAATATATCTGCAAAATCTCTAATATTCAACAACAAAAAATACTTAGTTAAGCATATTGTGCAAAACCGCAATAAAAAAATTTAAATTCTATCAGATTTATAGTTCCCACTCTGCAGATTTATTAGAATCTGTCCTTAAATTCCAGCCAAACCCATTTACACAGTAACAGATTAAAACCTTTAGATAAACCAAACATTACCGCCACATATCTGACTCAATAACCATTAAAACAACTATTTTCATTCATCTCAGACGGAACTATTCACAGACTGGATTATATTAAACTGAACTTCCAATTTTCTTCACTGTTCGGCGCCAAGTAACCTTTCCTCTGATCACGGAGCAGCCGGCTTGCTTGGTCTTGCAATGAATCCTGGGATATCCCAGACCAGACCTCAGCGCCGCGCTATGACGTAATCGGCCTTCGAATCTGGCCTTCTGAGGACGCAGCCCATGAATTCAAACAGAGCGGTAGTCTCCCTCAGACTGATGCTGACAGGGCAGTGTTGCCATGGTGACACGAGGGGGTTCTGCTGACAGGTACAAACTGTTTACAATAGAATAGAATAGAACATCCCTTTATTGGGGAATTGTTGTGTTTCAGCAGCAAAAGATTTACAGCAAAACTTAGTGATGGATTCATGAATGGAGCCCATAGATCTCTATTTATTCACTGGATTCCCCGAAAAAAGTGAAGCCACCGGCCGCCATATTGGTGCTCCCTAGTTAGACCGGTCAGAATGTAAACAATCTGTGCGCTACAGCATCAAACAACCATGATGTACTAATTTTCAGGGACTAAAGACTTTTAAAATAAAGATAAATTCATCACTTTGATCCACACTGGAAATCATGTAATATAACATATTATACAATCCATCACAATGAAATGAATGTTAATGGAGCAGAATAATACAGATGAGCCAATTGGCTAATTTGATGAAGAACATGTAATTTACATGGATTGATGACATTGTTGTGGTAATCACATCTTACAGGTGTGGTAATGAATGCAAGATCAAATGTTTCAGTTCCTTTTTTTTCATCAATGTAACATGCAATATATTTCAGCTCATTACTTTTTCAAATGAGAAATATAACAAACATTGAAGGATCAACAGCTTCATCCACTTCATAAAGAATAACTACATTTCACTATACTTTCTATTTTCTAATGTTAGACCCAATGTCAGTGGCTAACTCAGTCAGTGTCTTTCAGTCAGTCTGAGATAGCCAGACTAATGTTAGTCTACAGACTAAACTATAGGATCCATCGGCTATAGATGGATTTATTGCTTAGTTCATCCACTGACTGGGAAATGACCTGAGGAACGTCTTCCTGCAGACAGAAAACTGCTGGTTTCTGCAGCTAAATGCTGCACAGGGAGGAGTTTTACTGCGCGTCTCTGTGGGACTGGGGAGTACCAAGATGGCGGCCGGTGGCTTCACTTTCTCTGGACAATCAGCGACCCAGTGAATAAATAGAGGTCAGTGGAGCGTGTGGTTTCCATGAAAGTCATGTGACCGATCCAGGTGGGTTTCTAACTGACTGACTCACTAAACTGGTTTAAAATGTTTCTGTCAACATGATGCATCTGCTAAAAAAGTCTCATCTTTTGTGCTTTATCAGTAAAATGATCCAGAATGTTTGGGCACGTTTAGGAACCTGTTTATTTAAATTTTCTCATTGTGTCATCCTTTTCCTCTCAGTTATCACTTATCTTAAATTTCAATTACTTGAATTAAAGTTAGTTTCTAATTGACTCTAACTTTATTTACTGTTTTTACTGCACTTAATGTTTTAAAAAAAGGATTTAAAGCATCCTCATTTCAATTCCTCAAATCAGATTCAGTTTAGACCAGAGGTCACAGATTAGCGGACCACGGCCCAGATCCGGACCCAACCGGATTTAAAACATTAATAACTGCTGGAAGAACTGCATTTTATTTCAGTGTTAAACAGTTTAAAGTTTACTTGGTTACCCCTGGTTCAGTCTGTCCAATCAGCTGCCTGCAGTGTCTCTAAATGTCCAGCAGGTGTCAGTATTCTGTGAGACAGGATCAACGCAGCATTAGTATTTTGGCTTCAAAATGACTCGTTATCACTAGTAAAAGTGATCACACAGTGTGGGCCTTTAAAGTCTATAAAAATAATAGACTAAGTGACAGAGTTAAAAAAATAAAATAAAATTGTATAGTTTTATTTTGTACCGTAGAGACTTTCTACATCTAAATATAAATACTGCAGCCACCCTAAGAATAAATAATAAACAGCTGTGGACATTTTTACAGTAGTGGATCTGGGAAAATATGAAAGGTCCTTCTCTACATCATGCTAGGTCTGTCTGTGAGACAGTTTAAGGAAAAAACTCATTTCCAGTTTTTAACCCTTTCTGCTGACACTGAGTGTGAGCAGCTGGACGGAAAGTTCCTGACATCAGCTGGATCGCTGCACAGAACCGCCAGCCAAACAATGGCGGCGGTGTGTCAGATCAGCATTCCAATAGTCAATACGCATGAGCTGGACGTCACATCTCACTATCTCAACAGGCGTGTATCCCTTTAGTGATGGCCAAAAAAAACCAATTCATGGTCAGATCTCCATATGCTTCAAAAAACAAACCAAAAAGGAAGTAATTAAATAGTTCTTTTGTACATGACTTAAGGGATACACGCCCGTTAGGGTAGTTTAAAGTCTACTTTTTATACCAAACTTAAGGGATGAATAGACGAGATTAACTAAATGAATAAAGTCAAAAACTAAAGGGATCAACTAAAATGATAAAGAGATAAACCTAATTTTTAGGCAACATCAGTTTGAGGATATTCAGGATCTTTACTCCCAGTGAACCGAGGCTAAAGGCAGCTCATCAAGAGCCAATCAGCCAGCAGGGCCAGCTCATTAAAGGAAAGGCTTTCTGTTGGACTTATGGTTTATTATTACCGTCCAGATGATCACAGACACAGGAACAGCAGTGTGACAGTGGCCATGGCATCTTTAGAGGATTCCTGGTTGGTAGGAGCTGCATTAGCATTGAATTGATTGTCTGGATAAAACCTGGAACTCAACGCTATTTCTGACATTTAGAATTGAAAAAGCTTCCTGGATGGAAGAGAAACGTCTTCAAACCTGGAAATAAAGTCCAGTTTTTTTTACTTTCTTTGGAACCCAAGGAATGTTTTCTGGGTTTTTTCTCTTATTGCGGATTTTTTTTTAAAAGCAATTTTTTCTCCTTTGCAGGTTCCGTGGTGAAGGTTATCAGGAGGGCTTTGAGAGGGGAACGGCCAGGGGTCTGCAGAACGGCCGTAGACACGGCGCCTCCCATGGAGCCAAGCTGTCCTCAGAGGTGAAGCTCCTCAGGTTCTACAGATACAGGCCTGAGCCTCCCTACTGATGGTTAATCAGGCATCTAGAAGCCAAACTACTAATGCTGCGTTGATCCTGTCTCAGAATACTGACACCTGCTGGACATTTAGAGACACTGCAGGCAGCTGATTGGACAGACTAAACTGTTTGATCTGATGACCTGGAACAATGATCTCATTGAAGTTATTGGAGGTTATATTCTATTGTTTCATATCTATGTTTAAATTGAAAATATCTTTGATAGTTTTAGATGCAGCCAATAAATAATGTAAATATTTATCATAACGTTAGAATTTAGGGGAAAATATGAATGAGGATACTTATGGACTAAGATTTTAAATCATTTTTTAAAACATTACGTGCAGTAAAAACAGTAAATAAACTAAGAGCCAATTTGAAATTAAATTTAATTCAGATAAGTTGAGTGATAACTGAGAGGAAAAGGATGACACAAGGAGAAAATGAAAATAAAAATGTTCCTATTCCTTTTAGGCTAATTTTAACCATAAACTTCAAAAGATGAGAGTTTGCCGTTAATGCAGCATCACCAGCCTTCATGCAGCACAGAAACAAACTCCTCTGATCATGGATCCTGTCCCTAGAGGCAGGCGGCTCACGGCCATGCCTCTAGTTTGTATGTTGAAGATGTGATTAGTGGTCATTAATGAAACCAGAGGTCTGCTGTGGTTGTTCCAGTTTCATTCCAGTTTAATTTGTTCCACATGACGTTTTTCTTGACAGATCTCCTTCTATCATGGATTTGCTGTCACTTGGAGGAGTCTGCTGGAGGGTAACGCTGACGACAGGTCCAGGTAGGCTCCACCTGGAATAAACTGAAGGTCGTCAGGGTTCAGCGTGTACCACAGAGGGTTAGCGCCACGCTACAGATCAGTTTTATACATGACAATAATGTAACATTATCAGTAGAGACTGTGAGCTGAAGCCTCATTGAACCGTTTGGCCAAATAGCTTCAAACGATCCCCACAGTTTATGAAGCTTCATGTGAACATGTCGCCACTTACTGGTGGAGAGCAGAACTACACTTAGTAATATAATCTGGGATTATTTCTCTTGTTTTTTCCCCCAAATTAACTTCCTTTTAAATTGTTAATGATTGATTTATATGTAATAAAATCGTTTGTAAATTGTTGTTTTTTTTGTCTAAAATGTCTTAGAACAGAAAAATCATTTAAGGTTCACTGTTTTTCTGCCATTTTAGTGAAATAAGCTCAAGCAGATAGTGAAGGTGCAAATTGGGCAACGATGAGCAGAATGAAAGGCGTTACTCATTTTATTCACAGTTTTTCCACCATCTTTGGTTTTAATCTGGTTGGAAGTTTTGTGTTCAACCAATCTTTGGTTAAACCAGCCAATCTAATATGACAGAGTTTATATTTCTATATTTGTACTAGAGCAAACCAACACTGAGTCACATTAGCCAAAATACTTTTAAGTATTATCCCAGCTTACAAAAGTCTACAGGGGGTTTGGAACCAGCAACCTCAGGAGTGAAAGTCAGTGTCATTACATACATAGTTTATTCTAACCAAAATAGTTTTAAGCAACTAGATTGGTTGGAAAAACAACCAATCTATTCTTAGAATCTATTATACTGACAGCAGCTCTCCTCCAAACTCCACATCTGGACTGAATACTGAGGCTGTTTAGATTCCTGTGGAAGTTCTGGGCGAGCTGAAGCGCTTCCTGGAGCGCTGATATGGCATGGCGGTAGCAAGGCCTCCGATGTCATCTATTTTGGCCCCTCCCCTAAATGAAGCAAACCTCGACACGCTCTTCAGGGAAACGCCCCCTCCTTTGCTCTACACACGCCTTAAACCCTCGGCTCATCTCATAACATCACTAATTATCAGAAGTCGTAATCTTACCAGAATAAATTTGTATTTTATGAAAAGGTAAGGAAATATTAAGTCTTTTAGCATCAGATTATTATCAGGATCACATTTTTCAAATGAGCTGGAAGCTTTCTTTCTGAAACGGGTTTAGCTCTGATGACTTCTTTCTCCTAATATTTTATCTTTATTCTTGTAATTTTATGACTTTATCCTTGTAATTAAAAAAGCTAAATCTCCAGCCTGGCCCTAATGCTCCGTGCTAACCCTGCATTCAGGCTCCAGTTACCAAATAAAAAGAAGCTCACTGTGTGAACCAGCAGAGCAGCAGGTCACGCCTTTCCTATCTATGTGTTCCGATCTATGGAGCACATTTCTAAATGCTGTAGGGACCAAAAAACCAAAATGAAGAAATGTTTGGTGGAAGTCCAGCCCTGAAAACCGTACCAACTAGCTGACCAGCAGAGACCAGTACCCCACCTCCACCCTGCTGACCAGCAGAGACCAGTACCCCACCTCCACCCTGCTGACCAGTAGAGACCAGTACCCCACCTCCACCCTGCTGACCAGTAGAGACCAGTACCCCACCTCCACCCTGCTGACCAGCAGAGACCAGTACCCCACCTGCACCCTGCTGACCCATTGCTGCTCCAACCACGGATCCATCAATCCAGTAGAGGTCCTTCCATTTCTTGGCTTCTGCTTGTTTGGATTCAGCCTTTCTTACCGCCTCATATATCTGGACTCTTCAGGTAGGTCTAGGTTGTGGAAAATGAAAGCCCTGAAGGTGAACGGATTCTTTTCCAGCCTCCCTATTTCATTTCCAAATGTAGGATGGTGTGTCATCATTCCCTAATATCTATTCTTCCAGAAGATGAAGAATCTTTGTTTGCCCTGAAGGGCCTTAGAAACTGTCTTTCAGGCTACCTTCATACTTCAGCCTTAATGTTTTTTTGCTAAATCCCATTTTTCTGCGTGGTTGTTCACATTTCCAAATGTTTGCGTCTTGTACGTTTTCTTCTGTGTGAACTGCATTCATACAGCTTAAGTGTCCCGCACTCGCATTAGAGGGCGCAGTGATGTCATAAGTCACGAGTATGCTCTGTGTTTACGGAGGTAAACATGGATGGTAGCACTGCAGTGCATCTAGCGATGTTTCGTTTCTCTCCCAACCTCAGCCAGTGGATCAACAACACCATCTTTTCATAAAGGTAGAGAAAAAAGTCTGCTCTCTGCAGCATCGTGCGCCATGACTGCTTTTATTCTTCCTGGTTCTCCTAAAGCCGGGCGTACACTGTACGATATTTTCCATCGTTGCACGCAGCTACAGCTCATACTGTACGATAAAACCGAAGGGGTTAAAAGTTCGCAGCTCACGATGTTTGTTCTTAATGCTGTGCGACCCGACGCTCTAATGCGATCTACCTGCTCACACTCTACGTCTAAAAATAACATCGGACTCAGCGCCGAGAGATGGCGCTGGACAAACCCGTCAGTCTGGAAGAAGAAGAACTCCCTGGTTTGGACATGCGTAGTGCTGGAGGTTCTGGTAAATTGGCTGGTAGCTCTGCTTCAACAGCAGGATTTACCCACGACCACCTGACAACGACCACCTGACAACGGCCAACTGGATTTCACACATGTTTGATTTCCCCCGACCTTACGATTCCTGATGGGGGGTGGTCGTTAGAGGCTGATCACCTCCCGTTACCCCTGGACTCTACACCACGCACCATCAGGCTGAAAGTCGGCCCGATTAAAAAAACATTCTCACGTGGCTGAAGAATCGGCCAAAAAAGGGCAAAAACTGGTACAGCGTACGCCCGGCTTTAGAGTAGAAACGATCCGAGTCAGGACCACGGAGCCAAGAGGCCTGGGTCACTGGGAAAGAATCGGATCTGTGTTGAAAAAAGTCAGGAAAAGATCAGATGTAGGTGGCTTTCTTTAATTTGATGTCCCAGTCTGCCTGAGCCAGGCTTTTCATTTAATCAGCTAAACTTAATGTTACTATAGAACAGGCAGAGACTGAATGTTAAATCATCAGAATAACAACAGATAAATATTTACCATGAAGAGTGTGACTAATAAAACATGGCTGGTGAAGCGACGGCGGCGTAGAAGCCAGCTGGGTATGAGGAGCAGAGGGAGCTTCTCCTCCCATGGAGGCCGTATCTGCTAAATAAGGAAAAATACCTGGAGATCTGATCTCAGGGAGGATGGCTTCATCTTCCTGTACAAAGTCCTCTTTCGGCTAATGAACATCTTCCTGGTTGATAAATGTTCTTTAAGCTCCTGATGCCAAATCCGGTCTCTGTTTGTTTGTTTTTTGTCCCAGGAAGCGTCTGAAGGCGCTAGAAGCTCTGCTGAATTTGATCCAAAGGTCTCCTCTGGAGGATCCGCAGTCCGTTAAGCTTCAGGAGGACATGGAGAAGCTGAGAGCCAAGTTTAGACAGGTATGCCTTCCTGCTTCAGGCTGACTGATCCACTGAAATCCCCTGACCTCATCACGCCTGTTTTCTCACACCCTGCAGTGTGTCGTGTGGTCGGAAAATTTAGATTTCTCTTGTCTTATATATTTAGTTATGCTCTCCAGTGAAAAATGTTTTTACTCAGTTTGTTTTTTTCGTGCAAGACTCTGACACAACCTTCACAGTTTTATCATCCACATAAGTAAAGAAGTAAAACTGATTACTGAGCCATAAGGGCTGTATGACGGTCTGTTCTCTCTTTGCAAAGATAGGAAAATAAATGGCCGACTGAATGGAATATATCAATCTCCGTTTATTTAATTAGGTTTAATATTTAAATACTTTTTCCCCACTACAGTCTGCAGTAGGGCTGTCTGTTCAATTCTATTCAGTTTATTTCTATAGCTCCAATTCACATCATGTCATCTCAGGTCACTTTCCAGTTCACCAGATCATCCAGTCAGATTGATTCAAAGTTTTCTATCTAAGGAAAACCAGCTGATTGCATCGACTCATTGACTCTTCAGCAATCCCTCACACTAAGCATGCTTGTAGTGATAGTGGAGAGGAAAAACTCCCTTTGAACAGGAAGAAACCTCCTGCAGAACCAGGCTCAGTGTGAGCGGCCATCTGCTGAGGCCAACTGGGGTTCAAGGAGACAGAAGCAGACGTAGAAAAAGAAGCAAAAAGCAGAGAGAGCAGAAATTTAGAGATTGAACTAACAGATTCTGCAGAGTGGGAGAATAGAGATAGAATGAAGCAGAATGATGAAAAAGGGGTCCCTATGTCCTCCAGCAGTCTAAGCCTATAGCAGCATAACTATAGAGATAGCTCAGGATAACCTGAGCCACTCTAACTAGAAGCTTTATCAAAAAGGAAAGTTTTAAGCCTAGCCTTAAAAGTAGACAGGGTGTCTGCCTCACGGACTAAAACTGGTAGTTGGTTCCACAGGAGAGGAGCCTGATAATTAAAAGATCTGCCTCCCATTCTACTTTTAGAAATTCTAGGAACCACTAGTAAACCTGCAGATTGAGAGCGAAGTTCCTATAATCTCTGGGTATCTCCCTCCCCTTAACCCCTTAAGCCCAGCGGGTCCGGTACAGGGCCCAACGGACACCTGCTCATGTTCATCTATTCATAGAAATGGCTAAAACTCAGTCACATGGTGTTTCATCCACACGCATTTCAAATGGGGCTTTAAAATTTCTAAACATGTTTCAAAATCATTTTTTCACAAGTACTATTTGTTTTATAGCTGTGTAAATAAAAAAAATTAGATTTAAAATTCTACCTGATGTGTGACTCTGCGGGAGTAATGCAGCAGCAGGTATTCATTTTTAGCCCCGCCCCCTAATGGCATCATTGGAAACTAGAGGCTCAGACCTTTCCAAGGAGGGGTCAGAGGTCATTGTGTGACCATTTCAGGGGATGTAACCAGCATGCGTTACATAAGCTGCTCTGTTTTTCTTATTTTCTATTCAGTTTGGTGATTTTATTGGTAAATTTCAATAACCTAACGATTAAATCTGAGGAGCAAAGGCTTTATCTCATGCAGAAGGTCTCCAATAATGGAAATCAGCATATTTGTCTGATCAGATTCACTTTTATGCGTAGAAAAATGCAGTTTTGCACTTTTGTTCATTTTTGCACTATTGGTCAGTCCAAATTTGCTCGACTTATAGTCAAGATGAGGATCTATAAAGTCTGAGGTTTCATCCAGAGTTTCAACTGAGCTTCCATGGTGTTTTTCAGTGTTGGACGAGGCTAAATATTTTTAATTTTTTCTTTGTTTAATCACCTATAAATCAGACATGGTGACATTTAAAATAGTGGTTCCACCTGAAAAATATCCCTCAGTGCCTTTCTGTCACACAAAAAAAAACAATTTTATTTCCAATTTATAGTTTGGGAGCTGGACTTGCTTTGATTCACATGTGGAATTTCAGGTTTTTGCTCCTAAGACTCTCTGGGCTTTTGCTCAAACGATTGAAAAAAAAAAAAAAGTACCTGTTTTCTTTCTCTGCATGTTCTTCTGCCTGAACAACGAGTTCTTTATCATCATCATCATCCCTGAGAGTGTGACCCATCCCTGAGTGGTGTTATTGGTGGGATGGCCTCTTATATCCCAGGCACTTCTAGTCTTGTTCCAATCAGTTTGTGTGAAATGGGAACACCATCGAGCACCAAGCAGCCCTGTTAAGCTGCGTTCACCCCAAACCTTTGGCCAGTTTCCTCCCTCTTAGTCACCTTGAAGTTCCTCTGGCTTTGAAGGCTCCGCCATCATGGATTCAGCTGGTCGTCAGCTTCAGCTCATCATCACACACATAGATTCAATGAGCCACTGGGAAAACTGTCGGCATTCCTGGGTCCACTGAATTCCCAGAGATGAAACCATCATGGGTAATAGCTCCGCCCCCTCCAGACGCTGCGTCTGGCTGACAGACGCTGTCTGGGACCCGGTTCGAGGTGCTGCTGTCCCTCATTGGGGGTGGAATCACCGGGATGACTGAGAGAAGGTGTGACGGTATTCTGGAACTCAGTTAGGAGCAGTGGGAAATCAGAACAGGAACCAGTTGATGATGCTAACTGTTGTTAAACATGCATGACGGTTCAGGCTCATGTTTGCTTATGGTCCTGAGATGATGGGAAGATCTTAAAGCCTGAAGACCTGCTGCTCTCTGCCTTCCTGTGATTAAAGGCCTGCAGCCAGAAAGTCTTTATAATCTGTCTGGAATTCTGAAATAGGATGAAACTATGAAGGTTCCTTAGTTGCTGTTCTCACTGGTTCCTCTTTCTTTCAGGTCTGTTCGATGCTAAACGTCTCCACTGACTTCAAAGAATACATCAAGACAGCTGAAGGGACTTCGTTCTGATTGTTCCAGGGGGGCCAGGCGGGGGCTGCCCTCACAGACGGGTCGCTCTGCAGGATGTTTAGGGCCGTAAAGCCAGAGGGCGTGGCCTAATGGCTCCGCCCTAACTGCTGTGGAAACCTTTGGGTTTGTGCTGATCCAGGCTCTGCCTGATGAAGCAGCAGCTGAGAAGCTGAGGCTGTACTGGAGTGATTGATGGGTGGGGGGGGGCTTAGCAATCATCTGATGGGATGGACTTCTCCGCACACGCTGTGATCAAACTTTCTAATTACAGATGTGAGGAAACGGTTTGTTTGTGTTTCGCCAATAAATCAATTGTTGCCATTTTTTTTCCTCTGGTTCCTTCTTTCAAACCCACTGAACTCAAACAGAAAATACAGGAAGAGAAACTGAATGTCATCATTATTCTCTCTTTTTGATTAGTAAGAAATGAAATAGAAACTTCAGCGCAGCCTTTGAGCCACAAGGTGGCAGTATCGTGTCCTCTCTGCTCCATGTGCCATAATCTGCATGGAGCAGACAGTCTACCATTAACAGATTCTCTCTCATTTTTGCTTCATCTTTCTTTTTATCAGTCTGATTCTCAGTCATCCAGGTCATAGTCAAGTTTTAAAAAGTTCAAATTCAACCCACTGGACTTTGTTTCCAAGTTTGAAGAC